TTCCCAGTTGCAATGTATGGCTGTGAAAGTTGGACCATAAGGAAGGCTGAGCGCTGAAGGATTGAGGCCTTTGAATTGTGGTGCTGGAGGAGACTCCTGCGAGTCCCTTGGACAGCAAGGCAATCAAACCGGTCAGTCCTAGAGGAGATCAACCCTGACTGCTCTTCAGAAGGCCAGATGCTGAAGATGAAACTCAAATACTTTGGCCACCCGATGAGAAGGAAGGACTCACTGGAGAAGAGCCTGATGCTGGGAACAATAGATGGCAAAAGAAGAAGAGGAAGGAAGAGAATGAGGTGGCTGGATGGAGTCACTGAAGCAGTTCGCGTGAGCTTAGGTGGACTCCGGGGGATGGTGGAGGACAGGAAGGCCTGGAGGGGTGTTGTCCATGGGGTCGCGATGGGTCGGACACGACTTCGCGACTAACAACAACAACAACAAAACCTGCTTGTAGAGCAGATCGCGCATATTTCTCGGATGCAACTGTAGAAGCGCCTGGGCCTCTGGGCACTAGTCCTTCTTACAGTGAGTTCCATACATTAATTTTCCATTGTGTGAAGCATGACCTTTCTGGCCAGAGTTTGCAAGATACATGAGTTACCTCTAATTTTAGGCTACTAACCGGAATTTTAATCTCATTTTTAAAAGGTGCATTGCATGATTTGTGTTTTATTACCTACTATACACATGCAGAATGTGGTGAGCTAAGCCTTGATGTAATAAAAAGGACTGTGAGAAGCAATCTTAGTAAAGTGAAGCTATCTTTTAACTCAGAATGGTATTATTTTTTATTATAGGAATCTGATTCTGTAATTTTATGTAAGCTTTCATGTAAAATGCTTTTTTAAAAAAGCCATCTATAAATGAATATATAACCGAGTACTGGGTGCTGTTAGAGATTAAAAATATAGCATAGATTTCACTTGAGGCTGCTTTCCAAATTTCCACATTTGGAGGTCAACCTCAGGAGGAGCCAGGAGGCAAACGCAGGAGGAAAAATAAAGTATGAGAAAAGATGGAAATGCATCTTTATTACATTGCTACCTACACATGTTCTTCATCAGGAAACGTTCCTGAGCCCTCGGTACAGACCAGAGGGGCTGCAGGCTGGGATCCCTGGCTGGCCCGCCAGCCCATCAGTTCTCCTGCCTGTTCGCTTCCCGCACTCTTTTCGCCTCTCCCTGCCATGCACCTTCTCTTCCAGTT